ATACATATATATATATAATTTTTTTTCCTTTGCTGTTTTAATAAATCATGCTGCGCATTTGTCGCCCCTGCTGCTTGTTTCAGCGACTGCTCCTGGCACTTGAAATGAAAACAGAAAAGTGCAAACTGTACAATTAAATAATTTACAATTTGCAAGGGCAATGCAACAACAACAACAACAACAATAACAAGAACACCAGCAGCTGCAAGCAAGCTATTACAATTTTTCACAAGTCGCAGCAGGTCGCATTTTTAATTTGATTAAAATAACAGTAACAGCAACAACAGTTGCCTTTCGTCTCTTTCCAAGCATTACTAATTGCCTGAAAATAAATGTCGAAATGCATGTAGAGAGAGGCACTGATAGGGCACTCAATACCTTAATCAGTAAATGGAAATATTTTATATTTATATAAAATTAAAAACTGCTATGATTTTCATAATATTCAAAGTTTTACTAAGCATTTGTAAATATATATATATTTGATTATGATGCAAATCGCTTATGGAAATCATATTTGGAATTAATTTTTAAGCTTTTTTTTATAGATTAAATTAAAAATATTGATAAAAAAAAAATTACATTTTATACATAATTAAATAAATATATTTAAAATGTTTAAAGATCTATGCAATAAACTATATAAACTACAAATATAATATAATAAACTATAAATAAATATCTATAATTAATATATTATGTAAAAATATAAATAAATATATAAAATAATATATCATAAATATATAAAATAATATATCATAAATATAAATAAATAAATAAAATAATATATCATAAATATAAATAAATATATAAAATAATATATCATAAAAATGTATTCTAAACATCTAAATTTAATATTTATTTCATTGCTAATTTATGGCTTTGAAAATCGTTTCATTTGCTAGTTTTCAGCTCATTAAGCTTTAACTATAATTAAAATGCAATTCAAAAATCTCCTATACAAATGCTTTGAAAACCACTTTCCTTTCTTGATAATTTCAATGGATATTCTAATACACATTATACTGTAGCCGAAGTGTATTAAAGTCATTTTAAGTAATTAAAAAATAAATTAAAATGATATACATTTGCAGTTCGGTTTACCATTTGTGTATGTGTGTTTTTTTTATACATATTTCCGACTGAATAAATTTCTGTTCAAAATATTTGCAAGCAATCGATAAACATATACAAAATTCTGCATCTTTTGTTCGAAGCTGGGTAAGCTGAAGTCCACGTGTATGTGTGTGCGTGTGTGTGTGTGAATGCATATAGTGGACCACAGAAATGTGCACAATGTTTCGTTTTTAGCCACTTCTTCCATGCATATTTTATAGCACACACACATACATGGAGAGACACACACGCACACACACACATGACGACAACAAAAACATGAAATGACATGCAAAATTTTGAATTCGCAAGCGCAAAAGTGAATTTTTGCATACAAATCGATGCATGGGTTGCTTGCAAAAGTTGGAAGTGCAAAATTTTAGCATTTAATTGCTGGCATGTAAAATGTTGTGGTTGTTGCTGTTGCTGCTTGCTGTCTGTGTGGTGCGGAGTGGTGCTGTGTGGTGTGGTGTACTTTGTGGAGAAATTTGTCGGGCATTTAGCAAAAGGAGCAGCAGTTGCAAAATGCAATCAAGTGAAAGTGCAGAGATTTCATCTATATGCAAGTGTGTGTGTGTTTGTGTGTGTGTATTGTGTGCACGAATATGAAATGTCTAAAGCTGATCGCTTGACCCATACAGATTTATGCAAATTGCGTAAGCTTCTAAGCCGCAAATGGCAATTGATATGCAGCAGACTGAGGCAGAAGGAAAAAGCTTACAGTGTGGGCGGAGGGGCGGAAGCGGTTGCCGAAGGGGGAGGTGAATGCGGAGGTAATGGCCGCATTTTGACCAGAGCGTATTAATGATGATGAGCATCCGTCGCTAATGAGCAGCACATCAAACTTAATAGCCATTGGCTTAGGCTACTTCAAATATGAGAAATATACTTTGTGCGTGTATGTGTGTGTGTGCGTGTGTCTGTGTGTGCTTGAATGCCTATTGCCAGAGAAGGCTTCCCATAAATTATCGAGCGCCGTCAAAATTTGTCTTGAGTGCAGACAAGCATAAGAACGCAATAAACGCATAGACCCATAATCATGCTAATAATTATGGCAATTCCTTCTGACATTTGTGTCTAATAAATATTTCGGCCATTTAGCCTAGCACCACCATGGGCATAAATATTATATATGAATGTGCACAAGTAGCTGGCAAAAATGCCAAAATGCAAAATGGCCCACAAAAGCAAAGCAAAGCCCCAGCAGCGACAAAAGCCAAGACAAGTACAATTTTTGCATAGATTCAGTTGAGTTGGCTAAGGTGGAAGAGAGAGGGGTGGAGTAGGGAAGAAGCGGTACAATATCATACTTATATTGCTTTTGCTTCAGCATTTTGTGACAGACTGGCAAAATGCCCAAAATACTTATACCTTGCATTGTCTAAGCATGTATAGATATGTACCTGTGTGTGTGTGTGTGCGTGACCATGGATAGGCTTTTAGATATTGAGATAAACTTTGCGACAGCCGCATAAACTGCACTGTTTGAAGGTTAACACAGATTGTTGTACTAAATCCTTAAAGTGCGAACAAAAATGGCTTAAATATTATTTTGTGTCGGAAATTATTGCATTTAATTGTATTGATAGCTTTCCGAAAGAATAAAAAATGTTAGTTTACGAATATAAAAAAAAAAAAAAATATGAAAATTACAAAAACTTAATATTAAAAAAATAATAATAAATAATAATGAAAATGAGTACTCATTTCATACCTAGTATATATTTTACTATATATTTATTAATATTTATTGTTTAAAATAAATGAATAATACTGTCACTGATATTTCATAATTGTCATTGATTATTTAATATACTAGACTTACATTATAATATACGCATTCCCGCAAGCCCTAGTCCCAATCTTGCTAAACCTGCATTGCTCTACCTCTCAAGCCTCTCGTAATGCTCAGTAAACCTCATTAGACATAGTCAATGGGCCGTTGAATTGGCATTTGCATTAATCGAATATTTGCCTAATGCTAATCGGTTGCATTTCACATCAAGTGCGTCGTTCTCTCAATATATTGACGTTTAATTTGCAAGATTAATGGCATTCCGATATTAATTAGTAAACTGTCATAGAACAGTCTAAAATTATTTTAATTGGCCCAAATCGCTTGCTGGCTGAGCCGTGATGCCTCGCTTCGAATGGAATTGTCAGTGCAATTTTAATTGATATTTAAAAATGAGAATGATATAAATGTCAATCAGGCGTATTCTGGCTTAAATTCCAATTAAAATGCATTTTTAATAAATGCCTTTAAACAAAACGCAAGCGAGATAAAGAAAAAATCAAACAGGAATATTTTCGGCAAAGTTGAAAATTTCCAGCACGTTCCCATAGATACACGAGTGGAGTTGACAGCTGCTGTGTAATTAATGTGATTTATTTCTCGATATTCTGTTATTTTTCTTGTTGTGTGGTTATTTATTTTTCTATATGTATGTATGTATATATATATATTTTTGCAGTTATTGATTGCTGTGTGCGCAACTTGTTCAAGTTTCAGTGAGTAGCAAAATTGTTTCAATACTTTTGCAGGACGGCCAATTAGACCAGAGTGAAGTGCTGCTCCATAGATGCATTCACACATAGATATACAGATATATATGTGCATGTGTGTGTGTGTGTGTACACCCTTGCGGCTATGCCATATATTTACAATCAATTAAAACGCGTAAAACGCGTTGCCCGCAAATTTCATTACGAACGTCAATTTCTGTACGTGTGCGGTGGAGGGGGAGGGGTTGAGGGAAGGGGGCGACAAGGGGCCACGATTGGAGCTCTGGTTTTGGTTTGCATGTGAATCGCTTTCTGTGTCACTTAAATATGCAAAAGTAGTTACACACACTGAAAGAGAGAGAGAGATATATAGCCCACTATATAGAGAGAGCGAGAGTGGTATACACGCATACATTTACACATGCTATAATATCACTTAATATTTAATCGAATTTGCACATCGCTGAAGCAGTTGCTGGCAAAACCAAATAGAAAACGAAGTAAACTGAAAAACATATGTGAGCTGAACCAAGTTATGGAGAGTCTTGTGTAGCACTCTATCAAGTAGAGATAATAAATTAATAAAAATAATAATAATAAGAAAATAATAATAATAAATGAGTAATAATAAAAAAAATAATAATAAAAATAATAATAATAAAAATAATAATAATAAATAAAAATAAAAAATAAAAATAAAATAAAAATAAAAATAAAAATAAAAAAATAATAATAAAAAAATAATAATAATAAAAATAATAATAAAGAAAATAATAAAAAATAATAATAAAAAATAATAAAAATAAATAATAATAATAATAATAAAAAAATTAGTAATAAAAAAAATAATAATAATAGAAAATAATAAATGTGTAATAATAAGAAATGAGTAATAAAAAAATAATAATGAATGAGTAATATTAAAAAAATAATAATAAATTAATAAATAATATGAAAAAAAAATAATATTTAAAATAAAAATACAGAAACGTAGGTTATAAAGAAACTTATTTATTTATTATTTTATAACTAGATTTTAATTTGTTTTGATTCAAAAAATATAACAAAGTTTAATATATAATTTTAGAAGATAGTAGGGCCTTTGTAATACCCAACAATATTAATATAAAATATATATAGTAACAATAATAATCAAAATAATATATAATAATATAATAAAATATAGTATAATAATAAATTATATACTAATAAAATAAAAAATGCATGACAATTCAGAATATTTAAATATATATCAATATATAAGCTTTTAGCATATGTATATAGTAAAAAAAAAAGCCTTTGATTTTGTGGATTATATATATTTTTTAAATTCACGTTTTCTTTTACTAATACAATAAATTTGTTCTCTCTCGTTACAGGAAGTTGGTAGTATTATTGGTAAAAAGGGTGAAATTGTCAACAGATTTCGCGAAGAGGTAAGCATAGATAATAAAAAAAAAAAAAAAACACTACATTATTTTTATCTAACCGCCTATAAATCTTTACAGTCTGGTGCCAAAATTAACATTTCGGATGGCTCATGCCCGGAACGCATTGTAACGGTATCTGGCACAACAAATGCAATCTTCTCGGCATTTACGCTAATTACAAAGAAATTTGAAGAGGTATGTGTGCGCTAGATTGAAACGGCTGCCCAGCCTCACAGTCGATTGCATAACACACACAATAATTGATACAACAAACACGATATATCTAAAGTGAATAGAGAGTATACATACATATATGAGAGTGCGGCCAAACAATCGCAGTTTGGCTAGAGAAAGTCAGTTTGGCAGAATAGTGTTTGTTGTACTCAATTCTTGAAATAAGCTCACGCTTCACATTACTAACTTGAAACCCGTTTCAGTGGTGCTCGCAGTTCAATGATGTTGGCAAAGTTGGTAAAACTCAAATACCCATTCGATTGATTGTGCCCGCCAGTCAATGTGGATCGTTAATTGGTGTGTATAGATAGATTAGACAATTAAATATGTATATAGAATCGAAATGTGAAATTGCTCACTCTCTTTCTCTCTCTCTTTCTTTGTGTGCCTGCGCTGCGACATGCAGGCAAGAGCGGCTCAAAGATTAAGGAAATACGCCAAACCACAGGCTGCTCCATACAGGTGGCCAGCGAAATGTTGCCAAACTCCACGGAGCGTGCGGTTACCCTGAGTGGCAGTGCTGAGCAGATAACTCAATGCATCTATCAGATATGTCTTGTCATGTTGGAGGTAAGTTGGCCAAAGCTAAAGTGAATAAAGTGACAGATGGCGCCATCTATGGGCGGGTAGGACTAAAATTCATTTGCGATAATTCCAAGTGATGGCAAATCAATTGAAATCTTGTAATCTAATCAAGAAATTAGTCACATTCTCATTTTATTGTGGGCATAGGGCGACAAGTGGCGCCATCTATGGCCAGATAGATGCACAAATAATTCTTTGCGCTTTTAAGAAGTAGTGAAACTAAACTAATCTATTTTCTCCTTTACAGTCCCCGCCACGCGGTGCTACCATACCGTATCGACCAAAGCCGCAAGTAACTGGACCAGTTATCTTGGCCAACGGACAGGCCTTTACCATACAGGGCAATTATGCGGTGCCCACACAAGAGGTAGGTGAAACAGTGCCTATAATTATGTATTTATTTGCTTAGTCTAAGCCGTCATGTACGATCGATTCGAACTGATCAAATATAACGCCGCATTCTAAAGCTAGTTACTGCCGAATCTTTCTATATATCTATCTTAATTTCTATATATTTTAACTGTCGCCAAATACATCGTAATCCAATATTCATTTACTTTTATATTGCCATTCTTTTCATAAGCTAAATAACATTTTTGTTGTCTATATTATCTATATATAATTTATTCTTTTTGGCTATTATAACTACTTTGGTTTACCTACCACTATGCGCGTCAAGAAACAAAACCGTTTGCCTCAACTCTTAACTCAATTGATTTTATGTACATTTCTCTCTCTCTCTCTCTCTCTCTCTCTCTCTCTTTGCCTATCTTTGTGTATAAAACAAGAGTCTTTAGTTTGTTCATCCACTCTAATTATAATTATAATCCAATGCTCGTTTAGAATACCTTTTTATTATTTGCACCTCTCTCTTTCTCTCTCTATCTCTATCTTTGTTATCCACAAACTTTTATCGAACAATCCCTTGAACCTTGGCAGCTGTCTAGAGCCGAACCGACTTGTAACCCACTCTCATCGCAGTTCTCTGAAATGCCCCGCAGAGTCCTCAGTTGGATTCTGTCCAACTGTGGTTGCTCTTTGTCCACTTATTCCACCCAGTCGATTACCGTTTCTTTGCGCTCATATTCTCATATTTATATCTCTTGTATTGTTGAACCCAGTCAATTTTCAAATCTCCAAAAGGTGGCCCCCTCCGAAAATCAAAGAACTAATTTCAATCATTTACAGCAGCAACTAAATGAAAATATTGATTAATAAATATATCTAATAATATTTTTAAATAAATTTTTACATAATTTTTTTGTGTTCTTTTTTAGTTTCTTTCGCACTCTCTTCTCTCAGGTTAAGAGCTTGTAATGTGAGAGTGTCTCTCTCTCTCTCTCTCGCTCACTCTCTGGCTCGATTTCGTCAAGTGCGTCGTGTCTGCCTTTTTATTATGGAAAAGGGGGCGGCCGCACTTTTGGAATCATTGGTTTTAGGGTTCTACAACCGAGTGAGTTTTTGTGCGGGGGCTTCACTAGTCTCACAACCACACACAAACCAAAAAGAATGGGTTTCTCATCTATCTCAGTCACTCTCTCTACTCTCTCTGTATCTCTGTGTGTGTTGTAATCGAATCGAGGGCTCGCGTGCAGCGTGTGGAGAAGTATGTTCAAACTACACTAGCTCTATAATATATTAAACAATAAAATTAATAATAATAATATACATATATATAAATATACCCCATAAACAAGAAGCACAACAAACCTTTTGAGTGATAAACAATTACTAAAAATATTTCAACTGAACAACCCAAAACAAAAATTTACTCTATTTATCCTACGTTTATTTTCGGTATACATTTATATATATTTATATATATACAAAACTTGATACTCTTCATTTTTGTGTAGTAAATACTTGCATACAGATACATTAAAATGTTAAGTTCATTTGCCAAAACAACAAAATCCCATTTACGAGACAATTTTAATCACCAAAAACAACAACAACAGCAGCTAGAATAATTTATGTGTCAGCCCATAAAATGCTGATACCTTAGAGGTGTTATAAATATGCATATGTATATATATGTATATGCTTGCATATATGTATGTATGTATGTGTATTCGTATATTATGCAACATTCAACATAATACAACAACAACTACAACAACAATAATAATTCAATTAGCAACTGCAACAACATACTATTCAAATATCGTCCTGCCCGAGCCCTCACATCACTCAACTCTACTCTCGTCCGTATATACAAAATATATAAGTATAAATATATATAGTATATATCTATATCGTATATATTTCTTTCGATTCCCCCGTCCAAAATTTGCAGCAACAGCAACAACAACAGCCCCTCTAAGCCCTCGCCAGCCACTTTGTGCCAAATAAATATAGTTTGCAAACTAAACAAAAAGTTTTTGTTGTCACTTCAAATTCAATTAATGTCCGCAAACAAAAACAATAATTCAAACAAAATAGTTATACCATATCTCGCTCTCGCTCTCTCTCTTTCTCTCTCACTCTCGCTCTCTCTCTTTACCCGCCCTTGGTTATTGTCGGTGTTGGTTTTTAGCTTAATGCGGCGTGTAGTGTTGAATGAATAATCCCAGTCAAGAGTCGCGGTTCAGCGGTTGTCAATTAGGTACACAAAGAGCAAAGGCTTGCCTTAAATAATTTATGATTATGTTTGGGTTCTCAATTGACAACTAAACTGCGACTAACTTATTGACCTTCGCTCATCAAGTACTCTTAGTATCCATTCACGGTTTGCTAAACCCATCTGGCAACAGTATTCAGACCCACTCCTCTGTTAGTTTGTTCTCTCAGTTGTGTTTATCATTTGTATTATAAATACATTTTGTTTTCCTATTTTTCTTTGAAATAAATTACCAAAATTCTTAATTCATGAACTGCCTTCGTTTACACCAAAACTCTGCACACTCTACTTTTTTGTTCACTCTCTCTCCGACCCACAAAAGCTTCTTCTCCGTCCCAATGAACGAGAATCTATGCAAGCTTCCAACTAAAATACTATAGCCAAATATATATTCACATATATATATATTTAAAAAGCTTTCTATTTGAATTATATATAAATATTTAAAAAAAACAACAACAGATATTTGAGCTCAAAATTTATGTTTGGTAAATCAATTTTTGTTCTTCTACTTTTTTCTTCTTTGAAAACTTTTGCAAAACAACAACAACAACAACAATAAATGAAATAAAAAAACTACCTTCAAATTCCACGAACACAAAAAAAAAAATCAAATTCTAAAACAAATGTAATACTATTAGACATGTCCAGTATTTCCACTTGCTTTGGCTACCGGTGGTCTACATGCTGGTATTTCAGGCTTAGCGGATCCTTTGTTAAAGGGGGCACATTTACCAGGAGCGGTACCAGCACACCACCATCACCTACAGCAAATGCCCGATGTGAGTTTTGATTGATCCGAAAATACAACAACAAATACCAAATACCAACAACAACAATTCCAAAGAAAACTAAATTGGCTAAAAAAAAAAAAACTAATACAAAGCAAATCAAAATCAAAATGAAAATGAAACATACATATCTCGAGAAAAAGTCGAAGCTTGCGAGCCGGGACAGCATTTGATTCTTTTTTGGCATGTGTTGCTGTATTTGAACTATGTACCCTCTAGCTGTACATCAACCCCCGCCCCTGGCAGCTCCTGTCCGCCCTCTGTTATATCGTTGTATTTGTGCATTGCTGTTTGTTGTTACTCCGTCTATCCGTGTATGTATGCTCCTGCTCCTCCTCTGTACATCTACCCCCACCCACCCACACACACACACAGTCTGTAGTTGTGTTACCCCCCCTAGTACCCCTAGTACCCAGCAGCCAGCCAAGCCTCTCTCTCTCTCTCTCTCTGTATACATATGTAGTTTGTGTTGCTGTAGTTGTACCTTTACTACCTCTGCCATTTCTTTTACGATGCCCGTGTCGCAGCAACTGTGTGGTCAGGACATAACATTAACGTTATGTGTGTCCCCATGCTCCATATGCGCCTCATCCCCAAGCAACTCTTGGATCACAAAGTTGTTGTGGGTTACTTATTCTTTTTTTGTTTGTTTGTTTTTTGTTTTTTTGTTTTTTTGCTCCCATTTTGTTTCCCTTTTAGCTGAGCCACACTAAAAATCCCGCCACTCGGGAGAGTGCTCCGAACAACCCATCAAATGCATTTTTATGATGACACAAAACTTGGTTGCAGTATCATTTGTGAATTGCTTCCATTTGTTTCCTCTTTTTTTGTACGCTGCAACAAGATATGTTTATTTAATATGCCAAACGCTACTTTCTATGACGACCGACCACGCCCCTGCACCCGCACCCGCCTCCGCCGCCGCCTCTCAGCCGAATTCCCTCTTGTTATTGAGTTGCAAGTTCATTTCCATTTGTAAGAGAAATGCAAAAGCAAAAAATATTGCTGTTTTTTTTTTTTTATTCGTCATACAGTGGAAGCATCGAGCATGTTACATTTGTTTGTGCATTAGATAAATATTTGATTTAAAAAACACACACCCACACACACAAAGTTTTTCTATACTAAATATATGATGTACATGTATGTAAATTTCAGAGACACACAGCTTTATATACAAACATTTCATTTCAATATTTGATGATTTTTCTACCCTTCAGTTTTTTCTTGTTTTTATTTTGGTTTATATTTTCCCCTAGTTGCATTTGTATATATGTATATATATTTATATGTATGTATGTAGTTATATCTGTGCAACTTTCATTCATTCATTATTTACAAAACTTTGCATTTGATTTGATTAATTTAAAAAGCGCGTGTCTAACCCAACCCTGCTCATATATATATACATATATGTGTATACATACATAAAGATATATACATATATATAGACGTATATGTTGTATATATATAATGCATATATGTACATGCATTTATTTGCTGTAGGTGTTGTGGATGCAAATCTCTCGATGCCTATGAATATGCAAGTTTTTGAAAAGTTGAAGTTGAGAATTTTAGGTTCTTTATGCCCTAGATGCTATGAATGGAATGGGGTTAAGGATTCAGACTCTGTAATTTCATACAGGATGCAGGCAAATTGTATATAAAGAAACAGCACAGCACAGGTCATTCAAATAATCTTTGAGACAAATGGAAATTGAATAGGCCAGAGTGAAAAGAAATTAATATACTTTTGTAATTATTATATTAGTAAATATTTAGGGTATTATTTGATAACTTAAATATTTAGGTATGAAGTCAAGTTCAAGTTTCTACTACCTTTACTCTTTATACTCTGAGTAGCTTTTGCAGTATGTTGATCCCCTTTATAGTATTTTAATGTGTTCATGAAAATAATACTCGTCTTGAATAAAATAAAGAGAAAAATTTTAATAAATTTTTTTCAACTAAAAAATTCATTTTTTAAGTACCTACGATCATCTGTATTGTGAATATTTTTACTGATATATATTTCTATAGAAAGTTGTTTTTCATGCATCTATTTAAGTATTTAATCTCTTTAAACAAATTAAATCCAAGCAAAAGATTTAGAAATTGAAAAAAAAGAAACCTCTTTAAAGTCTGCTCTATTAAATTCCAATGGAAAACTTACTTCGATCGCTTCATATTTTGTGTAGTGCAGCAAAACTATTTTCATGAACACATTTGTATATATACTACTCAATTAATGTATCAAAAAAATCAAAACGTTTCATTAGATATATTATATAAATAAATATATTTCCATACTCTCTTTCTGTATTTAGCGTAGAACTTTTCAAGATTAGAATTTGCCACACAAAAACTAAAAACAATCGCCACAAAATAAACTTTTCATAGACTTTCACAAACAAATTAAACTCCAACAAACACATGCACACACACACACACACACACACACACACAGACACTCGTACAGAATAACACTCTTACATAAATTCCACAAGTTTTTTCTAACCTGTATAAAAAATGTTAATAATAATATTTGTCTAATGTAAACCAAATTTATTTATTTTTTTCTTTTTGGCTTTGCTTTTGATGCATTTAATTTTGATAGAAAATATTTATATATATTCCATGTATACTAATTTAAATCTTTTATATTTTCATTGTGTTTGAGTTTGTTTTATTTGTATTTATTTTATGATTTTTTTGCTGGTTTTTTCAAAAGCTGTACGCGCGTTGTGTTGTGTTATCCCAGCCAAGTTAATACTCTACTATACCAAAAGAAAATGTTGTGTAATAAAACCAAACCAAAACATGAGACTAATTCTGTGCCCATATCTCTCTCAATATACTTATATATATATACTACTTCCTCTATCAAGAACATAATAATAATAATAACAAAATGAAGCAGATTTGATTTTAATGTCGAGTTGCCTTTCCAACAGGTTGCCAAGAATCCGTTGGCCAGTTTGGCTGCCTTGGGCCTGGCCGGCATGACGCCCGCCAGCACCGGTGGCATAAATCACACAGGTAAGTCCCAGATATATTACAATGGCCTTATGCAGAATGTGTATATGGAAATTGTTTTTACTTTCTTCTTCTTCTTTTTGTGTATTATTATTAATTACTTTAGCTCTGGCTGCCTTGGCTGGCTCGCAGCTGCGCACGGCCAATGCGAATCGGGCACAGCAGCAGCAGCACGAGATGACAGTCTCGAACGATTTGATTGGCTGCATCATTGGCAAGGGCGGCACCAAAATTGCCGAAATACGTCAGATCTCCGGCGCAATGATACGCATCTCCAACTGTGAGGAGCGCGAGGGCGGCAATACCGATCGCACCATCACCATAAGCGGTAATCCGGATTCTGTGGCATTGGCCCAATACTTAATCAACATGAGGTGAGTTTGAATTGCATTAAAAAAAAAAAAAGAATTATCTATGTATATGAAATCAAAATTTGTGAATGTGAGTGTCTTTATTTGTATGTATGTTTGTTGTCTAAATGAAAATTTTGTCGAATTGATTTGCAAATTGACAAAGTGAGAAAACAAGGTCTAAGGAGGTCGTCGGTCGTATCGGTTGTATCGGTCGTCTCGGTCTCTCAGTCATCTCTCTTTGATAGAGCAGTTTTGGGGCAGCGCGTTCAAACTCTTGTTAACTTAAGCTTAAGCTCAGTACTCAATTGAACTCTCTGCTCTCTACTCTATAAGTATAAGTCGTAAGCCCGCATACAGCACCTAACTGCTTATGTCTCATCTATGTAGTTCCGAAATCAACTGAAATGTAATGCACAATTTCATACATAGACAATATAATAAAACAAGCAATAATCCAAATCAATTCAGCACCAGCTAAACTCTAAACTCTAGTTTTACAGACAAATCTATTAAAAACAAAACTAAATAAATAAACAAAAACAAACGTTTAATTCTATATATAAATATATATATATAACCTAGCATCTAGTATACCCATGTATATGATATAAACTCAGCTCAGCAGTCGATTTGGAGGAGGAGGAGCAGGAGCTAAGTGGACAGCATCTCAACTAAAACAACGTCACGCGTCGCACTCTCTCGCACACACACGCAAAATCTAAACGCAACTGGAACTGAAAACAAATTGGTACTTCAAAATAATACAAAAAATAAAAATAAAATAAAAAATATATGAAGAAGCCGCAGTTCAACCCATCAACCTAAATATATATTCTACCAAAAAAAAAATATATATATAAAAACTATGCTCCTCTCTCCCCAACCCGCAACAAACTAAACTTAACCAAAATTCCCACCAAAAATCAAGTTTTTTATAATCCTGCAAAACTTTTAAATACTGTTCTTTCGGTCCAAGCCCAACAACAACTACAACAAGTCAAACAAGTTTTCTACTCCTAATATCCACAAAAAAAAAAAAATAATAATTTTTTGAACGCCGCTCCCAAACCATCAACAAACCAAAACATAGCGCCCAAAAAAAGCTCTCTTTAGAGCTTTGCTATCTATCCGTTAACTCCGTACCGTTCCTCCACACAAAAACCTCCTTAACCTTTTTTGCATAACAAAACACTAAAGCAATTCAAAAAAAAAAAAAAAAAAAAAAAAAAAATAAAAAAAAAAGACCAACTCAATTCCACAAAATCCCCAAAAAAAAAAAAATGTTTTAAAAAAAAAAAAAAAAAAAAAAAAAAAAAAAAAAAAAAATTAAAAGAAATGACCAACTCAATTCCACAAAATCACCAAAAAAAAGAAAATGTTTTAAACAAAAGAAAAAAACAAAAATATCCCATAAATTCCTTTCTCTTTCTTTCTCTCTCTATCTATCTCTCTGTGTACCTCATCCACAGCGTTGAACTGCAGAAGGCCAATCTTCAGGATCAGGCAGCACAGAATGGCACTGCTGCTGGGCTGGCGGCAGCTGTTGGTGGTGTTGCCGCTGCTGGTGCCGGTGGCGCAGCAGCTACAACAGCAACGACAACAACAACAACAGCAGCGGCAGCAGCGGCGGCGGCAGCAGCAGCCGCAGCAGCAGCAGTCGTTGCTGGCGGTGTCAATGGCAACAGTTGCTTGTCGCTCAATAACAACAACAACAACAGCAATAGCAGCAACAACAACAACAGCAGCAGCAGCAGCAGCAACAACAGCAATGTGAACGTCAACGGCAGCAACAGTGCCAGCAGCAACAATAGCAACAGCTCGGCCAGCAGCAATGGCAGCAACAGCGCCGCCAATTATGTCACAAATGGCACACAGAACAGCAGCAGCAACAACAACAACAACAATAGCAGCAGCAACAACAACAACTCAGCAACTTTGGGCATAAATACAACAACAGCCGCAGCAGCTGCTGCTGCTGCTTTGGGCGGCAGTCCATTAGCCTCCGCCTTGCAGCTGCTGACCAAACCGGGCGCACTCACCGCCCTATCCAACCTAAGCGCCTTGGATCTGCTCAGCCTGACCTCGCTGGGCAGCAATGGCAATAGCACGCCCGGCGGTCCGCCGGTACAGACCACGGGCGTGAACCGTGCCAAGGGTCACTATGCGACCTCGCGCTTCCGGCAGCATCAGGCCGAGGCAGGCGTCGAGTCGGAAAAGGCGCGCAACAAGTTCAATCCCTACTAGGGGTAGGCCAAATAGTCGCGCAAAAAAAAATTAACTAAAATCACAAAAAAAAAAAAAAAAATAAGTAATGGAGAATAATTTGCTAATTTAGTGCGAGTTTTAGAGGTAGCTTCTTCTAGTTATTAATACGTTTATTATAGCGTTGCGACAGCTTTAGAGTTTACAAATTCTCGAAGAATTTTACTCTAGTAATACAGATTTCAAAAAAGATTGTAAAACTAATTGCAATTTGAAGACAATTTTGATATAAGCTAGTTGAAAGCCCGATTGCAACAGTATCCAAATTAGTTTGTAGTTCAGGCAATATATAAATTGTCATATATATATATTTATCAATGTTTTTTGAAAACAAATATTACGCATATATATATAAGTATATATTATATATACACCATATTGGATTGGATCAAGCTCTTGAACAAATTTGTGTATCGAATATAGTCAAGGAAATGAAACAAACAACAAATCATGAAACTAGCCCCAAGTATTGTAATCGAAAACTCTGACCAAGTGAAATGCGTAATGCAGCGTGAGGACCCTTTCTTCTATTAGATGTTATATATAGTTCTTTTGGCGCCCTATTCCCATTTTATATGTAGTAGTTACAGCGGACATACGAACATAAAATATAGAATTTGCCAAATTAGACATCAGAGACAGAGCAGCCGAGTGAATATCGCTGACTATCGAATATCGATAACACAGGTTTAGCATTATAGAAGCACATACATATATTTTCCTTCGAACCTTTTCCTCTTAATGAACATTCACTGTAACATATATCAAATCGATGTCATCTAATCCCCATTACCCTCTATACATACATTCTCCAATATATCTCTACGATTAACTATTATTGCTATTCATATTTTCTCTAATTATCCAATTAGTAACTAAGCTCTAAATGTATTTTACGCTCTAGCTCTTAAGTATAAAGCTCCCCATTCTCAGCTATGTGTCGAGAGAAACAGAAAACTTCTTTAAGAAGTTCTACGAAAATTTAATTTATAAACAAACAAAAATTGTATGGAAAAATGGAAATTAAGAACTATTTTAAAAATAAAATAAAAAAATTCCAATGCATTGTGCTCAAAAGAATTTGGCACGACGACTTTTATGGACCAATTCGCTCTAATTGACGCAATCCACGCAAACGAGCGTACAAAAGCTTAAAAATACTGCAAAAAAAAAAAAAAAAACTTTTTGAATAGAAATCACACTTAAAAAATCTAGAAGCCAACTGTAGGCAACGAGAATAGTATATGGACTCGTAAATGTTGTTAAGCGTGAAATTTTTAGAAGGAAAAAGAGAGAGAGAGAGAGAGAGAGAGAGAGAAAGAGAGAAAACAATGAGAGAACGAGACGGTAAACGTTATTATTATGTATTGGACTTGAAGTCACATCAAATTGTTCTTAAGTCATAATTTTATATTTTCTAAATTATTGTATTGTATTTAATATACGATCGCACATTTGTTATTACCCTTAATATTATTATTATTATCATGTAATTATGATTTTTTCGTATTGTATTGTAAACCAAAATATTTTTAAATTGGTGAAAATTAAGTGAAATGATTGTTGAATAAAAAAAGTATTTGGAAATTGAAATTTCTCTCCTCTTTACACAAAACATATACATACATATACGATATAAGGATTTTTTATTATTTACTAAGTGCAAATGACACAAATTGTAATAGATTTATTTTAAGCTAAGCGGGCTTACGATTTTATAACCAAATCATGTACACACATACGAAACATAACATACAAACCTATATTTAAATATATATACACCTAAAATACATACTCGTATATACGACATTTATACAAAGTAGCTGGAGTCGAAAAATAAATTAAATAAAAATAAAAACCAGTAAATTGCGATAAAAATTCTTCTATTGAATGTATATGTACTACTAGACTAGACTTCTTATGGCGTACATACATTGAAGAAGAACGGAAATGATAATGAAATCAGAAAATAAATACACACACATTTACCAATTTTTAAAAGCAAATCGCTTTTTACCTTTAGTCGCGATTCTTAGCTAAAGAAAAACAAGCAAAACATATTTATATGCAATCAATAAAAATTATAATGAAAAACTGCGTTTGTAATAAAATGAAGATATACTAAAACAAAAACATTTTCATTATATTTTAGGAATATTTTATTGAAATTTAAGCAAAAGCTGAATTAGATTGGGTAAAGACAAAGATATTTTAGTAGGCATTGAAAGAAAGCTTAGTGCTTATCTTCCAAATCATCAGATTTAACATTTAAATATAATATTATATAATGACTTTTTAAAATTTAAATGGCAATATTTTATTAATGTGTATATCTTAACTTGCAGAATATCAATGGAGACCGCTGGACTGCCCATACCTGGTTATCATTATATTGCGCCCAGTGCAATTGTTAAAACGCCCATACACTAAGTGCAGCAACAACAACAACAACTACAACCAACAACAAAACATCTAAAAGAAAAATTTAAGAAAAAACAAAAAACATTAATATAATATAAACACAATAATAAAATGCAAATAGAGATCGAATGGAGCCGCAGCAAACGTAGCCAACATCGGAGTGCGGCATATTGGGAACGAATGTCAAATGTTATTTTATAAGCAATAAGAAAAACAAAAACAAAATAAAAACATAAAGTAAATCATATGACAGGGTCAAATCACAAGAATAAGCATAAAAACAAGCATCAATCGTCATATAAACACATTACACACACTCATACACACACACACACAAGCATACATAAACGTTATATTTATTCATTGATTCTTATTAATTATGATATTTTTTATTAAGTTTAAATGCAAAAATTAAAGATGATGAAGATGAAATATAAATGAACATTATGTTTAAACCGTTTTCAGGGCGCTGCGCCCTCATAGTAAGAACAGAACAGCAATTAATTCTAAGCTTAGTCAAAATGAAGACAAAATGCAACAAAGCAGAAAAAAACAAAAAATAAAATAAAAATAATAATTAATTAACCAACAAAAATGCAGCAAAAAATTAAAGCAAATTTCTAAATGCAGTTAAATCTTAAGCCAACTAATTGTGCATGCGCATAACCAAAAAAAAAAAAACAAAACAAAATAAAAAAATATATAAATACAATTACATCAAAGTAAGGCAAAACAAAAATAAACATAAATAAATACATACAATATGGAAGAGCAAGCCCGCCAAGGCCAAACAGCAAAAGCTAAATTAAATTAGAAAAAAAAACAAGACAAAACAAGAAAAGAAAAGAACAGTTAATTTCCACAGAAAATTTCTTATGTTTGTTGTTTAGATATTTACATGGTAAAGAACAAAAAACAAAATAATGAAAACAACATAAAAATATGGCGATTAGCATTACATTATACATACATATATATTAATTGATATAATAATTATTAATTTTATTATTTTTATTATTGTAATTGTTATCGAAATTGTATTTGTGATTTTTGAATATGTTTAGACTGAAGGACAAAATTAATTCTGTTTATTGATTAAACTACATATTATAAAGGAAAGAGAAAAACAAAATGAAACTATTATCTAATTAAATTAAATTAAACTTAAATTTTTAAAAGCCTTTTCGAAATTAGTTATAATTTGTTGATCGAGAACGAAAACAAAAAAGAAAAAACTGATCGTAACATTTGAAGCCAAATTTATATATTCGTTAGATAACATATTGCAATGTGTGTAATTTGTTTACATTATTTTTTTTTTTAATTTTCGGATTTTCTATAAAAATTAAGTGACAAAATTTTAAATTTATAATCATATATTGCTTAAGCACATTTGCGGCGATTAAAAAGACTTCTGCTACATGGAAAATGAGAAAAATGGATTTAATTCTTATTAATATTGCAATTAAAGTATAATTTTATTTTTATTAGCTGTTAAATTTATACGCAAAACGACAAAACATCAAAAAATAAACTGATTTTCAATGTTAAACTTACATTAATTATGATTATTATTTTTCTTATTATTTTTTTTGGATTTAGTTAACTTTTAGGCTGGGCAGCAAAAAGCAAAAAAAGAGAATGAGTTAAAGCTGTGGCTTGTTAATTACAATTACTAAATAATTGTTAGCCACGATAATAACAGAATTTAGTTACAAAGCACACACACCCACACATACCAACACACACACACACGGCATACACATAAGCATAATAATTAAATACATATTGAAATGTGTGTTAGGTTTAGACTGTAGCCGAGAACTCAAACCGTAAGCTAGCTAAAAAAGAAAAACAAAAATAAATACTAAACATTTGTCGCAAAAGATTTGTGACAAACCAAAATGTGTCAAATTTTGATTATACAAATTAATTATACATAAAAGAGAAGGAAAAACAACTAACATACACACATAAATAAAAGGGAAAAGAGGGAAGAGGAATATATAAATAACACCCATACATATCCACAGCATAAAATAAACCAATTTAAATGCAAAATTAATGTAATCATCAGCAAAGATTTAATTATTCAAACTACAAAAACATATAAAGGCAAAACATATCCCAGAACTACATACATACATTATTTGAACAATTATTTAGAGTGGAATGGAAAATGGAATTGAAATTAAAACAAACAACAAAGAAAAAACATTTCAAGCATTCAATTATTTTTGTGAGAAGAAATACATTGATCAGCAGACGTATTTCTTGTATATTCCCAACAATATATTCTTGCATTATAATAATACTAATAATAATAATAAAAAAAAAACACTTATGAAGCATAACTTGATTACAGGAAAAATTGTTATTAGCATAAAAACTAAAAACAAAAAAAGAAACAATTATAATAATGAACAATTCATTATTAATTAAGACACATACACTCTCTACATTTAATTAACTAAAAAACTGCAAAAAAAGGAAGCGAAGCAGAAGAGAGCAAAACAAATTGAGGATCAAGCAAAATGTGCAAACAAAAAGGCAAAAGAGAAAAAATATCAAGCGAAACTATTTCGTGATTTTAGAGACAAATATTTCGCTGATGACAATTTGAAGCAATCATTTTTGAAACAACAACAAATAAATAAAAAACAAAGAATGAACGTTAAATGAAGGCAGACCCGTATATCTATATATAAATAAATTATATATATATATATATCTATATATAAATATACATATATATTAAATTAATTATTATGTACACTTGTATTTAATTGTATTTGAAATATTTAGTAAATTTTTTGCGCAAGTTACAACAAATTAATAAAACTAAAAACAAAATACAAAAAAAATACTAAAACTCAATATACCCACTTCACTTTCGTGAATGAGTATAAAAAAAAAGGAAGTAAATAAAAAGAATGAGGAGAACGCACGTTGACGGGTTAACAGCGGATAGAAAATGGGACTATTTGTAACATAAGGGATAAATTAATTATGTGCATGTGTGTGTAAAAATAGCTCAAAACAACAACATTAACAACAATTTCAAATGAATTTTTACTAATTAATGTGTATGTGTATGTAAAAACATTATTAATGACAATTTGTTGAAAACTTGTAAATTTGCAAAAGGAAAAATACGTGTAAGAAAAGCAATTTTAATGGTGCCTTAAAAACCAAACCAAGCAAATTTTCTTCTTGCCCCAAACAGAACTCGATTGAGAACCGATATAACGTGCAAACAGTGAGTGGCCTGCGTATTATTCTTATTATTATTATGATGATGGCATGAGAGTTTTCATTCCTTCGACACTTCCACAGAGTTTCTCTCTCTCTCTCTCTCAGAAATTTCCCTGCTTCGGCATTGTTAAGAGCTTGCCCCACAAAGAGCCGGGCAATGTGATTTGTTTGTATGTATATGAATATATTTTAGTTAAATATACTACTTGTGTGAGATGATGCATATTAGCCTTTCGACATAAAGAACTTATCCCTTTTAGAGACATTTGACCCACAATTGCTCAAAGCTATTCGAGTTTCAACAACCAAAAGAAGACAAAATCCAGAACAAGATCAACATCCAATGTGTGTAGAGTTGCCCGTTATAGTACTTGAGAAAAATAATAAACAAAATAATAATAATAAGGAACGGAAAATATATTATGTATTTACATGGTAAATTTATGTAATAAATTTAGCTGCAAGTAGTATTTGAATAAAAAACAAAAACATTAAAACACCGAAAACCGAAATATTATCCGGAATAAGCAATTAGCCAGCAAAAAACACATATAAATGTTTCTCTCAGTGTAATTACAAATCACTTGAATGTATTTGCTCACAATTTTACAATATGTGTCAAAAAAAGAAAAAGAAAAAAAAAGACAAAAATTAAGCAGAAAAGAAAGTGAAGAAAATTCTACATTTGTAGAAAAACAAAAGCATTTAAGTCACTTGAATGGGTAGGAACGGAACGGATATATAAAATAATTGTTACAAGGCAAATATAGGAAAGGATAAAAAAAAAAATGAAAGAAAAACAAAAACATATTTATATACATATACATATAAAAAGAAGATTGAATGGAAGCTTATTCTTAAGGTATTTTAGATATTCTTATTTAATATCCAAAATGAAAGAAAAGTGAACAGATAAAAGACAAAAACAAAAACCATTATACGAGATGAATTTTTAATTTAGACAACATATGAAACGGCAACGTGTTAGGAACCACAGCGGTATAATCGGGCTTAAAGTAAGATATACGCAAATTTATTAACTAAATATTGGTGTTAGAAAATGTTAGGCAGAAAATACAAAAACAAAAAAAGAAGAATACTATAACTGAAAAATATAACTCATGTGTAATACAGAAATCATACGCAATGACATTGGCTGAAAATGGCTTCAAAAAATACAAATTTTGGAAATATTTTATTTTTATTACTATTTAAATACTTACTAAACTTGATTAATTCTCTAAATATGATTAAATTTGAATTGGTTTCTTCCCATTTTGCAGCTAGTGTCATTGTAACATATGCTTAGCCTTTAAACGTGACTAGATGATAGGGATATCATATGAGCAAAGTTTTGTGTTTTTCAAATGAATATGTATATATATGTATGTATAGATACATTAACTGAATGTGTGGAAATGAACGGATTTATCTATATAGAACACTGGGGAATTGAGCATTTTCTCGATTCGAAGTTGTCCATTTCTACATGTATCGACATATGTACATATATATATTATTATTCGTATACCGTTTCGTTGCAGCATTATATTGAATGGTTCAATGCCAGATAGAAAAAGTAACTACGTGTATTCCAATTCATCAAAGCAATTGAAAAAGGAAAATAGAGGGCGATTTCCGTATTGCCAGTAAATACATACATATACGAAACAGCTAAGGTTTCTCTGAAATTAAATAATAATGAAAATGAAAACCAAAAAGAACATTTAACCAATAAATTATATAGAACAAGCGATTAACTACATACATACTCTACATACATATATACATATTTATATACACACAGACACATACATAAACAAAGTTGAAATACATAGAATGCACTCTCCAACATGATCATTGGACAGACAATATCTCTAGAGAATTGGAATTGGAATTGTAATTGGCGAAAACAAAACAACAAAAACCAAAAGGAAATAGTTAATGCACATTGCACATATATGCGACTTACAAACTGTTTATTATTGTACTTGTATATGTGTAAAAATTATTAAAAATAAATAAT